AGTAGGTGCTTTAGACCACTGAGCCATCTCACCAGCCCAGAGAACAGCTTTAGAAACAGGCTCTTTCACCTTAGTCCAATGCCTCCCTATAGTTGGTATTGACAATTTCTGAGTCTTTTGAGGATTTTATGGTATAAATCAGGATGTTTTTCATTTTTCCATTGCCAATGATTGAGTTAGCTGTTTTGGGAGCCATTATCACTCCATCTGCTTTCTGGCTTTTATTATTTATTAAAAAAATTATGACTTGGTACAGGGTATCACTATGCAGGTTGAACTTGTAGTGATCCTCCTGTTTTAGCATTCTCCGCCCTGAGATTACAGGCATGCACCATCATGCCTGGTTCTGGTGGTCAGGCTCAGGCTGGCTGGAGTCAGCATGGTATGCATACTGCAGGATCGAACCCTGGTCCCTGTGCTCGACAGGCTTGCACTTAAGATGGTTGGGCTATCTCCCCGGCCCCATTTTATTTTTGAGACAAGGCCTTGCTATGTAGTTTAGGCTGGCCTTGAACTCATGTTGATCCTCCTGCCTCAGCCCAAGTACTCCAGATTTTAAAATTTTGTTGCATTCTTCCTTTCTTATACCCTCATCCTTACATATTCACACTGTTTTTAAAAAAATTCCTTTATTATAGTTTCAGTAGAACTTCAGGACAGAACAAAAAGATGTCATTTTAACCTGAAACCCACACAGCCATTTTAATAAGAGGATTTTCATTCTGCCAAAGCCTTCAGAAGCTAAAGATGTATCAGTGCATTTTACCAGCTCCATATATCACTATATGAGAAGACCAGACTAGGAAAGGAAATACATACTCTCCGGTTTAATTTAACAGGTAATAAAAAGTAAACTCTGCTGGAGTGCTTAAAACTTATAATTAATGCTTTTTTGTTAAAATCCAGGTTAAGTCTGATGAAATGATAGACACATAGAGGTACGCTCACTGCACAGTGACAGCGTTGCAGTACACAGACTGTAAGGTTGACACTGCTGATCCCAAACTGTATCACCTCTTCTTGGTGATTCCCTAGTCTAAGAGCCTGCCCACTCACTAAGTGTCTTTTTCTGCTGTTTCTTCACAAGCAGTCCTAGCAGTTCACTGTCCTAATCACTGTTTCTAAAACCAAATTTAAAACTATTCTTTAGGGGCCGGGGAGATGACTCAGCAGAATAAGTGCTTCCCTGGCAAGTGTAAGGGCCTGAGTTCAATCCCCGGTTCTGGAAAAAACAAAAACCAAAAACCAACAGAGAAACCCCTATTTTTTGCTGCCTCTGTAGTTATCACAAGCCCCTTTCTCCTGTTATTTTCTTGGCCCATTATTCCTGCCCTTGATGTTTCTCAGTGTTGGTGTGATCTGGTTTTCCTCTACTTTGGAAGGTAGTCCCATCAGTAATATGCAGATTTGTGTAGTCGTGCACCTTTTGCGTTTCACAGGTCCATAATGAATATCTATGTCAGGACAGGTCCCACTGGAGGCACTAGTCATGACACAATGAACATAACAAAGACTCTGCTAGTGGAGAAGATGGGAATAAAGTCAGTCATTCGGGGTGGGTACTGAAAAAAGGGCCGTAGTATAGAAAAAGGGACATGATGGGATGGACACTTGTTACACAAAGTGATTAGAGAAGACTTCTCTTAAAGAAAGGGGGCTATGTGTAGAATAAATATGGGTACTGTAGCTTGAGTATCTCAAACAGAAAGCAATAAGCATGGAGGTGTGAGTAGGGAGAGCACTTGCCCAGCTGAAGGAACACTAGAGACTGGGCTGGGCTGGGGCAGAGAATAAGTGCTATGTCTCTCTGAATGTGTACTGTCTTTGGCATGACTTACTCCTCACAAGATTTTAATATAATCTTAAATTTGAACAGATTCAGATTTAACTTATTTGAAAAGCTGAGATTTAAGTTCAGTAAATAAGTGGAAATATTACCAAATCAGATACTTGCTTAATAAGCATTCCAATTGAACACAGGCTTATAAACAATCTCAATTACAAATACAGCACGTATTGTTTTATTCAGGGAAGATAGTACAGGGGCAAGGTTTAAGAAACAGAGCTGGATTAGAGTTCTGGCTCTATAATTATTTGTTATTAGTGATCTTGAGTCCGAGTTGTTACTATATGCACACCTTTTATTCCAATTTCATAATGTAAATTTCACAATTTCATAGTGGTTATGGGGGAAAGAATACTGGAATCAGAAACCCTGAACTAAACACCTTTGTTGTTACTTATTCAATATGTGGCCTTAAACAAGTCATTTTCAAAAGCCTCAGTGTTTCTTATCCATAAAAAAATCTACTTCATAACATTATAAAATTCAATGACATCATAATCAATGAAAACAACTTGCATACTACAATTTTTCTTTTTTCTTCTTCTTCTTTTTTTTTTTTTTTGGTACTAGGGATTGGACTCAGGGCCATTGCTACATCCTGACTTTTTTATTTAGAGACAACATCTTGCTAAGTCACTAAGATGCCCAGGCTGGATTCCAACTTTCAGTCTTCCTGCCTCAGCCTCAGAATGCTGTGACTACAGGAATACAGTACCGCACATGGCTTAAGATACATATTTTAACACTATTCGTAGAACTTCACAAACTTACATTTTACTGAGTTTGCTTTTCATCAAAATACTTTTGTAACTTAATTTTACCTTTTGATTTACCTATTTATTTGCACTTAGGAGTTATATGCAAAATTTATCTTTCAAGTCAGCTTTCTACTTTTACCTATGTAAACTGTAACATATCTTTTAAATTATATAGCAAAATTCAAAAGACGTAAACAACTCAACTTGAGGTCCTTAAAAAGGATAAGAACTCAGATTTTCAATTTCACTTTAATGACTTTCGCAATAGAAAATAAGCACCAAGGGAAAAAGACTGAAAATTGTAATTAACAATTATTTTATATACTTCAACAACTGACTTCTTAGTGTACACGGGGGCTATTTCCATTTTCTAAGCTTAGCTAAAGTAAGATTACTGCTTAGCTAAGTCACAGATTGCTAAATAATAATTTGCAGTTGTATCTTTGTTATCAAATATTTGATATATCTTGTACGATTTGGTGACTGTACTAGAGAAAGATCACCGTATATTTTAGTATCATATTGCTGTCCATTAGTGGCCTTATATTGCTGAACAGTAATTTAAAATGGAATCTAAAAGAAGTATCACCTGAGGCCTTCAAAATATGCCCACTGGTCTTCCAAAGTACTTTACAAGAGATTTGACACAATTGAACTTACTCCATGCCCTGTGCAGTTTGCCGTGCAATATCTATTAGTTTAATCATCTCAAATTTGGTCTCGATGATGTGGAGATGGTGGTATAAGCTGGAGCCCTCACACCACTGGGTAACAATAGCTAGCTGTGGCTTTGTGGAATAGCCCATGAAGAGTAGGATATTCACATGCCGTGTTTTCCTGTACAAAGAAATGTGACAGTAAATAATAAATGTCAAGAAACTTTAGCAATTCTTCAAAAAGAGAGACAAAGCAATCTACTCTAGTAGAAAGATGCTGTTAGAAAAAGCTATTAAGAAGAATTAAATAAAGCAACAGAAGGATAAATTTAGAAAAGACTTGGAATTATCTAGCCTAGCCTTCTACACTTAGTCAGAATGTTTTTTTAAAAAATTTATCTGACAGGCAACTAAAGGTTGCTTAAATTCTGTCAATGATGGTAAATTCATCACTTGAGAGTGGAATTGCCCCTCACCTCTTAGCTTAAGTGGTTCTAGTACTAGTTTTCTCCTGTGGAAACAGAGTCATTTTCTTCCAATCTCCACAGATGGCTTCCTTACTCTGTTCTTTGAAATGAAACAGGGGAACTCTTCCTTCTTGAATGCAACTACCTTTTCCGAGTTAAATGTTTTGTTCACTATTTTCCTCCTAAGTTATAGTTCCAAGAGTCTCCCCATGTAAATTGTCCTACCCAGGATTTACTGTCATTTGTCAAGGTTCCTCAAGTCCTAGGGGCCACAACTAAACAGAATCCCTAAATGCGCAGTGATACATTTATGATTTTGAGGGTATTACTTCCATAAGAGCTATCATTTTATATGTCCAGAATACTGTAATTCTGTTAATTCAGTCTAGAATTAAGTCTTCCATCAACTGTACCATATAATACTGCATACCACTTAAAAGAATATAGTTAAAAACAAAATATAATTGGACAGTCTACATTTCTCTGTACTTACTCATTTTGAGTAAATCTGTAAAGCTAACAGACTGCTAAAAACCAGAAATAATAACAATAACATCCTTCTCTGGAAAATAGTAACTTGTGTGGGCTCACCTGAGTACTCCTACTTCATTTTTGAAGGCCTGTAACTGCTGAGGTGTGGGTGCTGTCACATTCAACATTTTCACTGCTACATCACCTAAAAGGTAAGTGTCATTCTAAATGTCATTCCAACTTTTAAAATTTAAAACAGAACCATTCTTTTCTTTGCTATTTTCACTAATTATCACAGCCTTAAGTCCATATTATTATTAAATTGCAAATAAATTACACCTTCACTATCAAAGTTGTATTAGTGTTTTAAGGATTAAAAACTAAACTAACAATAACATTCCTATGTTACTATTTCAAAATACCAAACCAAAAAATCGCCAATCTTGTTTTTCTCCTGGAAACTTAGTTTAACCTATTAAACACTCAGAATATTTTCCCAATAATTTAGTAATATTAAATGAGATACATTTATTAACTGCATGTTGCAACTAAAGATAACAGGTCTTCCAATGGAGTTTGAATTAAATAGAAAACCAGAGACTTAATTTTCAGAGTAGTTAACATTTTTTCTTCAAATCTATGTTACTGATGGTGTTTTGGAATAGGAAAATGGCTAAATTATAACTATAATTTAAAGAATGAGTTCACATCAAACATCTGTAACTGTTACACACTGCCAATAGATGTGTAAATTGAAACAATCACTTTGTAACTATGTTGACAGTATCTCTTAAATTGGACATATGCAAATTGTGTGGCCCCACAATTCTCTCCTAGGTATACATCCAGCAAAAAGACACATGTGTTTCTTGAAAGATGCACACTGAAAAGATTCACAGAAGCGTCACTTAGAACAGCACTAAACTAAACGTCCCAATATTGGTGTTATGGTAGACAGAAGCAATCGGGTTATAGTCACACAATGCCACACAGAGAACAAATGATGTCCAATTACAGCCAACAATACAAGTGAATCCTGTACACAATGCTGAAGGAGAGGGGCCAGACTGAAGAGTCCATGCTGTATGATTCATGCTGAGGTCAGGAGGAGGTTACTTTTGGGGGAGGAGGGGCTAAAAGAAGGCATTCTAGAATGCCAGCAATGTTCTGCTCATTAATCACAAATGTATTTACTTTGTGAGATTTTAGGTACTTGTACATTTATATGAGCTTTTTAGTATGTATATTATACTTTATGTATATTTTTAATTTTTCCTAATTATCTAAGTATTCAATTTATTAGCTGTTCCATAATCTGCATATCACCTAAATGTCTATAAACATTTTGAAAGCATAAAGAAAAAACCTCCATTATCATGTCACTCAAAAATGACCACTATTATAATGCTATATATCTACTAGGCTTGTATGTGTATGCAATATGGATACCTATGGATATGTATGAAAGGATAACCGAAAGTGGTATCTACTAAAATTCCCATAGGAATATTTTTACTTTATGTTATATATATTCCTATGCAGCTCAATAATGTGGCGTTTTATACATTTTTTTTTTTTTTTTGGTACCAGGGATTGAGCTCAGGACCCTGCGCTTGCCAGGCAAGTACTCATTCTACTGAGCTATCTCCCTGGCCCCTACATGTTGTTTTATATAATTTAATATACTAAAGATACCCTTCCACTCTAATAAATGTAGATGTTATAGTATTTTATGTTATACATACAGGTACCAACTTATGTGTCCAATTCTCTAGGCTCTTACTTGCTTTCATTTTTCACTAGTAAATTTCTAAAGAATATACTTTCGCACATATCTACTCACTCCTGTCCAATTATTTCTTCAAGGTAGCATCCTACAAATGGAACCAAAGGACATATAACCTGCCCTTGATACACACAGTCATATTCTCTTCCAAAAAGTTTACAGCAATTTATTTTCCTATCACAGCATAATATTCTCAATTCCAAATATGATTAAAAATATTTCTCCATTTGAGAGACAAATGATTTTTATTTTTTGAATTTGACATTCTTTGATGCTGAAACCTGAACAATTTGTTATGTTTACTGACCACTTGTAGTTCTTCCTTTAAGTACATTTCTAATATGTTCACTTGTGCTTATCAACAGAAAAACTTCTACAAAACAAAGACAATTTGGAGGACTACCTAACTAGAAGGATCTTTACCTTTAAAAATTATTACTTTAAAATGAACCCAATTTCTAGCTCCCACAGCAGAAAATATTGCAGGGATCCTTCAACTGATTGAAAGATTAATAATGCAAATCGCAAGTACTTTCTTTGATTCTGTTGAACATATTATCAGTATGGCTTGTGACAATGTCACAGTACATACATACCATGCCACTTTCCTTTGTAGACTGTTCCAAATGATCCGGATCCAATTCTTTGTCCCACTGTAATCTGCCCATCAGGAATCTCCCAATCATCACTTGAATCCCGTCTACCAAGTGTTTTCTTGATAAAAACAGTCCAAAAGTCAAAGTCAAGACAAGCCAAACAAAGAAAGAAAACCTCATCTTTCATATTGAGTTTGTTAACCTATGCCTAAAGGGTGCATAAGTTGAGAAGAGAACAAGGTTTCTTAAAAAAAAAAAAAAGTACACTCTAAAGGCATATTAAAGGTATGTATAAAAATTCAAAACTTAAGGGACTGGGGAGATGACTCAGTAGGATAAGCGCTTGACTGGCAAACTCAAGGATCTGAGTTCAATCCCCGGTTCTGCCAAAAAAAAAAAAAAAAAAAAAAAATTCAAAACTTAAACTTCTGACAAGTCAGTATTAGAATGAAAATAATTTATTAAACAACAAGATTATTTAGTGAATATATACAGAAATGCATATTACTAAAACCAATAAAAAAACCCCAGCTTTTCACCATTTGGAGGACTTTTAGGAGCAAGGTAAGTCCTATATACGTGACTAGTTTTAGCTCAAAATTCCTCAGAATTTAAGTCAACATATTATGATGACAGTTGCCTGCTTTCCTAGTTACTCTCTTCCAGTCAGTGTTAAATTTACTTACACAGATGGTATCATCTGGTCTGTTAAAAAAAAATCAATCCATGCAATTACTTTGGTGGAGATCTACTACTACCTGTCCAACAGGTAGTAGAAAGTTAATTAGAGCTGAGAACAGAAATGAATATGCTTTAAGCAAAATATTATGTCCTCTTAAATTTATTCCATTATGAATAAATTTAATTCGGGACTTTTTCATCACACACAGACATAATATATCTGAAAGGTAACAGTATGTTCTGCCTATGATTTCTGGAAAGAAAAAATTTAGAGGTAAAAAAGATGTATTTTTACCATTCGATTCCTGTCCTCTGAGGATGAAGATGACTTCCTTTCTCGCTGAGGCCCTGGAGATTTTTGTAAGGCTTTCACATTAGTGAGGGAGCCAGGTAATGAGGCAGGTGGGGTGGCAGACAAACCTGTGGTTGATCCTAAATTAGAGAAACAAAAAATGTATTCACTAAGGATGGGCAAGAATATGTACATGCAAACACTGACCTTTGGGAAAGGATAGGCAAAAAAAAAACGGGGGGGGGTGTTTCTAATTAGAACTATATTTAGCTTTCTAATCCATTTAATGACCTCTAATGACAGATACATACTTTGCTGACTGGTGCAAAGTATAGAAAAAAAACTGAAAACAACTAACAGATACTAAAGAATACTCCCAAGTTTCTGTGTCTGTCACTAAAAAAAAAAAGCAAGATCAATTACAAGCTTACATAATAAATAAGGCTTTATTTTACTTCCTTCAGTAGCTAATCAATATTTAAAAAGATGGAAACCCCAAAATAAATAATTTCAAATAATGCCTTAATGTTGAAATTATTGGCAACTAATATTGGCTCTTACACATTAGCAACTAAATTTGAATATAATCTCAAAGTATTAGCTCCACTATTTAAAAGATTAGTGCTTATCGCTTCTCAGCCTTTTGGCTAAGATCAAGTGTAAAAGATTAGTGGTCAGTGGCTCCTGGACTCTTTTTCTATTAACCACACATAGGTTACTTGCTACCTGTACACCAAAGTAAATGTAAGCAAAGCCACACAGGTTTGTTGGGACTATCTTAAAAATCTTTGCTTTTGTAAGGTAAGAAAAGTAAGTCCTACAGCCTTGAAGCCAAGTTACTACAAATTCCAGTATTTTATAAGCCAAATGTGCCTAAAGGGCTTTGGAAGTGGACTCAGTTGGCACGACTGCAAATTTTCTGGTGGGCACATTTCTAAATGCTAACTCTGGCAAACATTCTAGGCTTACATACAGTAGCACCTGGTTTGGAAGGGCTCACAAATAACTCTTAGTGGGGCCTGAGAATAGCTGAGTAGGACTGAGATTTCCAGGAACACTTTCATACACAGAACATCAAGAAACTAAAAAAAAAAAAAAAAAAGAGAGAGAGAGAGATTACTACTGTGTGTGTATACAGATCTTTTATAGAACAAGGATACCAAAGATAATATTTAAGTATTAAATCTGGGTAGAAGTTTCATCAGTACATTATACTAAATTACCTTGTGACATTTCCATGATCTCATATGCAGAAAATGGGTGTCTGAAATGTTTTCAACTAGAATACAATCTGTTTTCTACATGCCACTGATAATTTTCAACATTATAAAGCCTTAGTGCTTATCCGGGATTCACAGTTAGGATCAACTCAGTAACATACTACACTACTAAGTTATATTATATTAGTACTGAATGACTTCCATCCAATTTCTATGGATTTTCTGAGACACAGCTGGGTTGAAAAAGTCAACATTTAAAATATCATTCCCTTGCTCAGAATAATTATCAGTCACTAACGAGCAGCAAGAATTAGTAAATTCTTTAAAACCTGTCCCAATTCTGACTCAAAAATTAAAAAAAAATCAGTTTAACATCTGATTAAATAAAAAGATAAAATGGGAAAGTGAAATTATACTGGTAACTTTTCCCTTGTCTTTGGGCATGACTGAAATTATAAATTCTCAAAATTTCTGAAATATCCTGAATGGCTAAAATATATTGCAAATTTTTAAACAATTTCCTATTTAAAATTTTTTTTAATTTCCTATTTTTGATATAAAATCTATACATCTCATAACAGGGAAAAAGCCAATCAATCAAACAAATAAAAAAAATTTTGCTGATAAAATCTCTTTAAAAAAAAAGCCAAAAGCCAACTAAAAATATTCTAATAGGGGTTTCTGTTTAATTTTTTTGCTTAAAAGTTACGAAAACTGCCAACAAATATTAAATCAACAATGTTAGCACTAAAATGGATAAAACTAGCAGAATCCTGATTGCAGACTCTTCCCCCACGCCTTATGCCCTCCCACTGAGGTGAAGAAGTTATGTTATAAGGTAACAAAAAACAAGATGGAAATCTTGCTCAGAACTTTCTTGCTTTTAAAGTTTATGACAGACAGCACACAGAAAGCTTGCAGTAGTGAGGATGTGTGAGAAGCACATTCAGAGCATTCCAGCCAGGCCAAGCAGCAATTTAGTACGGAAAACTCTCACACTTACAAACACACGCTGTGAGGGTGAGGCACAAACAGCATCTGTAGTTTATGTTTAGTTTGCTTTGGGTGAAAACAAGAAAGAAGAGCCCAACTACCTCTGAACACTGGGCCAGGCTCAAAATCAAACACTATTTCACTGGGGACAGAATGAAGGAGGGGACTGGGAGTCCGGGAGTGGTATTTCCGAAGACAGCGCATCAGCTGGTTCAAGGGGGCTGTTAGAAGAGAAAGAGAGGGGCAGGCAAACACAGGAAGACAGACACACAGAAGAAATGAAAGAAGTCACGGGGAATAAATAAGATGAACTGAAGCCTGCTTCACAAAATAATTCTGGTCATTTTAAAAAACTGCTAATTTTCATAAAATTCTAAGGATTTTTTTTTTTAAAGTGACTCATAAAAAGGACAAGAAATGCCACTTGATTTTAGTTACTTAGCAGGCTGTCTTTATGACAAAGTTAACTCTATGATGCTAACATGATGGCAACATTTAAATGCTGGATGTACTGGGCAAAATTATCAAAAGCCACAGCTATAAAGACATACAAAAATCAAACTGGCAGCAACATTAATTGGTGGGTTCATGGAATAACAAACAGAAGAAACCCTTTCTATAACTAAGTCCTCTAGTAGTTAAACACTAAGTCCAGAGCATACAATGCAGGCTTAGTCATTTTGGTAGCTTCACACTTGCACAGAAATATAACAAAAGGTTATACAAGGTTTGCTCAATGTGAGTATCTGGAATGTGGGTTTGGATATTTTGAAAAAACAGAAGGTCACAGTGAAGAGACCAGCTCTACGCATGATACACAGTTTTCTTACAGGTCTTCCTTATCAGGCAGAAGACAGCTGAGAAGGGAGGCATGAAAGACTTCTGTCAAGAAAATGCTAAGATAGGGTCAAACACAATCTCTTAGAAAACACTATATAGGGAAAATTCTTAGAAAAAGTATTTTCATAAGCAGTTTGTCTTTGTTTACAGTGAATGCTAAATGAAAATTCTGTAAGAAATCTTAATTCAATGTCTGATTTGTTCATTTTGTTCACTAAACAAGAAGGGAACTGAATTTTTTTACTATGGGTTCATGCTATAAAATATATATTGCATACATTTCCAAGAATGATTTTGCTAAGTTTCATCTGATTCTAAGCTCAATCTGTAAGTATCACTGGAGGCCTCCATAGCAAACTTAAGAACTCCAGCTTTGGAGGTGGTAGAAATTTTAAAAGGTGGGTAAAATAATTAAGGACCTTTAATTAGCATAGTATTTTAAAATTGTAGACTGTATATTTAAGATTTTATTTCTCTCATTTTCTTTTTGTTTGAGACAGGCTCTTGCTATGCAGTCCAGGCTGGCCTTATACTCACTCTGTAGCCCAGGCTGGCCTCAAACTTAGCGGTCCTCTTGCCTCAGCCTCCTGAGTACTGAGATCACAGGCTTGCGACACCACACCCACCTTCCACAGCTATCCCCATTTCTGCACTTATGAATTAGTTAACATTTTATTAGCAATAAATGGCAAATACTATAGAAAAAAATTTAGATTTTTCTCTACACATTTTTCTCTGTGTCTGTTTCATGAAAGAAGCAAGTATAAAGGAGATAAGCAGCAAAGCAATTGCAATTTTCCTTGAGTTAAAAAAAAAACAAACCACAACTGAAATCACTACTTACCTCCATCATTACGAAACCCTTGGTCTCTAATCAAATCCTACAAATAAATGGTAAAGAATATTTATTCAAAGTGTACACAGTAAGAGAGCAATACTGAATTTTTCACTACATATTATACTGCATTTCTTTGCAAAACAAAGAATATGAAATTAGCTAGTGTATATGATAAAAACTAAATTTTGAGCTGAGTATGGCAGTGCATATCTATAATCCCAGCACTCGGGAGACTGAGGCATGCAGACTATTGTGAGGTCAGTCTGCACTTCATAGTGAGTCCAAAGCCAGACTGAACCACATCGTGAGATCTTGTCTCAAACAAACAAATTATGAAATACTTGGCAGTCTAACTCTATTCTGAAAGGATCATTCATTAGTTTCCATCAAATACTGAAAACCATTTCAGGCCATTCAAAATCAATGGCTTTAGCAGTCCTTAAAAGAAAATCTTACTGGTACACTGTTCCTTATTATGCCAAAGATGTTTGAAATGCAGTGAGATAGTGAGGTTAAGCTTAATAGTCTAAATCGTTTGATAATAACAATAAGCTTGTCTTCTGGATGGTTAACAACCTAAGTTTGCAGACCAAAATTAGAGAAAAAGGAGGGCTACAAGGAAAGCCAACATTTTGGCCCTAACCTTCTAAGGTCAATTAAGACTCAGGACATATGAGAACTTGTACTGTGACGTCATGTACCTCGGTAGTGTCCCAAATTTTCTGATCAAGAAGATTATGGGGCCAAAGAGGAAAGTGATCGATGACGTAGAGTGGGCCTAAGGAGAGTCACATGGGGAGAAGACACTCTCTCAGGCTTTCACAGAGAGCACACTGGCCAAGCAATGGCCGTGACTCATCCACATGGCTTCACTGACAAAGGTTCTACAATCTGAGGTACAGGATCTCAGGATAAATCCTGAGGGGATTTCATTGACCTTCTCAGACCAAAAAGCTACAACTCTTATTGTACAGGTCCTGCTTTACCTTGGTCTTATCCATCCAGTAGAAAAGTATGAAGACGAAATATATGATGTAATAGCCATGTTGTTATGTTGAGCTGTGGGGGACTCAGGTCAATAATTTCTGACATTGCCAGTTAAACAGAAGACCCAATGCTATTATGGTCTACTGGACTCTTTTAGAATATTTTGCTGAGTTTACACACCTATAATATTCAATAACGGAACTTAGAAAAAATAGAGTATATAGAAGAATGTTCATTTTGTATCTGTGTATTCAAAGTGGTTGGGATAGATATATAGTTGCATTCTCTTAATGAATAGAATGATTTGTTCTAATGGTGTTTGTAAATAGGATCTCAAGTCCGCATCTTGTATAGCAATTAACCACTAAGAAGAATATATGCAGTGTGTTATTTGTTGAAACTACTTCTGATTTGATTTGAAACTGTCTCATTGCTGTTTATCAATAAAATTTTTGAAAAAAAAAAAAGAAAATCTTACTGGTACATACTAGGAGATATAAAAATGTTCATCACCTTTCATTCTGTAATTCCACTTCTAAGAATTTTTCTTAAGGAAATAATTCAGAAGAAAAAAATGATATGCACATAGATGTTTAGTGCAACATTATCCATCATACTAAAAAATAAGAACTGTCTATTATAGGCTTTTTGAGATAATATGGTTAAGTCATGGTATATCAATTTAATCAAGTATTATGCAATTACCAAAACAATTCTGAAAGCTAAATCATGAAACATGTTTATAATAGAATTTAAAAAATTACAAAATTAAAAGTACACTGAATACCATCACAAAAATATGACCGCAGAGGGACACACTAATTAAAATAGCTCAAATAAGGACTCTGTTAAAATGTCTTAAATATTAAAATATAGCTTTCTACAACAGTGTTATAGTGGAGGAGACTCTCTTGGTAATACAGTTGGGATTTGGATAAGCAGAACTTGGATGGGTTTGTTTACTTCATTTGAATGTGTGGGATTGAATGGCCCCAAATGTCTCTAGGCTCTCTGCAAACTGTGCTTTTTTTTTGTCTTTCAGAGAGAGTTTTACTATGCAGTTCAGCCTGGCCTTGAACTCACTTTGTAGTCCAGGCTGGCCTTGAACTTACAGTGATTTTCCTTCCTCAGTCTTCTGAGTACTGGGATTATAGGTGTGTGCCACCACCCTCGGACAAACAGGTAACTTTTTCTTTACTGACTAAAATAAAGAGTGTATTTCTTACAGGTGTATTTCTACCACATTCAATGTATTACATACAGTCGGCCACATGTCTTATAGCATCAATATATACTCATATAACTTTAAATGAAGTGGTAGGGGTTAGTGGTTGTGTGACTACCAATAAGTATAAAATCCTTTCTGTGGTTGTAATTTCATTATAAAAAACCCAGCATAATCTACAATCTCACTGGAAGTGAAATGTACATGTGAAAATTAAATATTTATTAAGACTATTTTAAGATGTCAGTTTGTTGTGATGTTACTGCTAAGTGGTATTGTTAAGATTTTTCTTTTTTTAAATTTATTTGGAACAGGGTCTTACTACACAGCTTGGACTCCTAGTGATCCTCCTGTATTCAGCCTCCCCAGTACTGGCATTGTAGGCATGTGCCACCATGCCTGGACTCAGCGCGCCTGGGGAGTGGGGCTGGCATGGCATGTGGTATGGTATGGTGATAAGTTTTTTAATTGCATCTGTGGGTATGATGGTGCATCCCTGTAATCCTAGCACTGAAGGCAGAGGCAGGACTGCTGGGAGTCTGAGGCCAACTTGGGCTACCTAGTGAGTCCAGGCCAGCCTGTATCAAGACCCTAACAACAACAACAACAACAACAACAACAACAACAACAACAACAACAAAATAAATAAATTTTGTTTTGTTTTTGTTTTTTCGCGGAACAGGGGATTGAACTCAGGCCCTTGCGCTTGCCAGGGAAGCACTTACTCCACTAAGCCATCTCCCCTGCCCCCTATTATATATATAATTGCTATCTATTATAAGTACAGAATTTGGTCATTAATGAAGCAAAAAAAAAAAAAAAATTGGGTTTGAAGAATAGATAGGACTTTAGAAATGCAGATGACCCAGAAGAGAAAGGTTATACTTATTTTTGCTACTCCAGATCTGAAACTCACATCAACCATGGATTGACCAAACTTGGCTTTCTCTACTGTTACAAGGTATTGCTGGTGCCAATATGAACTTACATTTTAATGTCAGATGTGTTCTTAAAGCTTCTTCTTCTTTTTTTTTTTTTTTTGTATTTCAGGGAAGGGTCTACAGTGTGTTCAGGGTCTCACTACTAGATGAGACTCATAGTGATTCACCTGTTTATAGTCTCCCAAAAACTGAGATTACAGGCAAGGGCCACCATACCCAGTCTCAACTGCAGTCTCAGCGTGCTCCAGGGGTGGGACCAGCAGGGCAGGCCTGGGGATCTAACCCCTGGCCCCTGTGCCTGCTTACAGGTGTTTTAATCTACTATTTGGCTGGACTAAAGCTTTTTTTTGCAGAACTAGAGACTGAATTCAGACCTTTGCGCTTCCTAGGGAAGCACTTATTCTACTGAGCCATCTCCCTGGACCAAAATAGGAGCTCTTCTTTATTTATTTATTTTTTTCTTTTGGCAGAACTGGGGCTTGAACTCAGGCCCTTGTGCTTGCCAGGGAAGCGCTTATTCTACTGAGCCATCTCCCCAGCCCTCCAAAGCTTCTCAATAATCTTTTTACTTGTTCTACATTAAAACTATAGCCTAACATTTCAAAATTGGCTATTTCAAACTCTCTCCTACTTTCTTGTATTCTCTTATATCCTTTCTGTTTAGCATGATAGAGATAACAAAAACTTTCAGTCCTGTCTATAAATATTTATACAGGAGCTGGGGAGATAGTTCAGTGGTCTAAGCGCCTGCCTGGCAAGCGCAAGGTACAGAGTTTGATCCCTGGTACCACAGGCCATGCTGGCTCTGAAACTGGGTGTGGTGGTACGCGCCTGTATCCCAGAGCTGGGAAGGCTGAGATAAGAGGATCACTATGAGTCTGAGCTGCATAGTGAGACCCTGTGCCAAAAAAGTTATAAATATTTATACAGTAGTACTAGTTATAATTTCTGTATTAACTGCAATTTTTATTCTATGCCAGCTGCAAAAAGCATTTCAAGCCATTATAGGAGGCAAACAGCATCAGTTTTGGGGTTAAGTAATTTGCCCCCAAACATCATACAATATGCAGAGTTAAGTCCACCTCTTATTTTGGAACATCATATCCAAGTTCAAAGAATTTTACTACACTAATTATTCTCTATTTGAAACATTTTAAAAATTATTATTTGAGAGTCTCGCTATGCAGATCTTCAGACTCATAGTGTCTTCAGCCTCGCCAGTGCTGGGATTACAGGCATACTCCACCATGCCTGGTTTTGGGGCTGGTACACCCAAGATTCTGGGGCTGGCATGGTACACAATACTGGGGAATGAACTTGTGCTTGCCAAACAGGTACTTATTAGACTACCGAGCTATCTCCCTAGCCCTAGTCTCTTATTATCTTCAACTTGTCTTCACTGGCTTCTTCCTCTCTAGTTACAAATATCCTAAAGTCTTTTATGTTAACAACAACTGCTCATCAACCCTGCATCAAGCTACAGGTCTTCTGTTAGTTCTTTTACTGCAAAGCTTCTATCCTCTTTCCTTGCCTGATTTCCTCTTACCTAAAACAGCCCTCCTTTTTTCCTTCCCTCCCCCTTTTTGTGGTGGTATTAGGGGTAGAATTCAGGGACTTATGAATGTTAGACAAGTACTCTCTCATGGGAGCTATCCTCCAGCCCCAAAGCAACATTTTAATTGCCAGAATCAATGGTCATTTCAGTCTTAATGATGTGACATCAACTATCAGTCTTCTTGAAGCCCCTTTTCTCCCTCTGACCACCAAAACACTACTTTGTCTTTGCTATGTAGAGCTAGATTTAAGAAGAACCCATAAGGGTGACAGAGAATAATAATCTCAACTGGTAATGCTCATCACATTGCATTTTCTTACCTCTTTTCAATTTACATTTATTGAATAATATCATTTATATCCATGGCCTTAGCTGACACAAATATGCTAATCTGCTTATAAATCTTTCATTGAAGGTTCTTAAGTTCAATTGCTGCTGGGCTTTTAAAACTGAAGTCCCTTAGGCCGGGGAGATAGCTCAGTGGCTTAAGCGTCTGCCTGGCAAACGTAAGGTTCTGAGTTCAATCCCTGGTGCTACAAAAACAAACAAACCCAAGCCAAAATAACAACGACAAAAACCTAAACCTGAAGTCCCATAGATATCTTAAAAGATCGTATTTCCAAAATAAAAATTAGTATTTATTTTATTTTTTTAAGTTAGTATTTCTGTTTAAATAAACCCAGTTTAGATGTAAAAGCCAGGCATCTATGAACCAGAAACCTGGGCATAAGAGTCTACTCCTCTTTCATCACCTCTCACTACTACTGCACAGCATCATGGGTAACCAAAAGAAAGAAAAGCTAGGTTCAAATCACAGACACCCATTTTAATCATTCATCACTATGTGGGTTGGCGTACATTTCTTAACCTCTGTAAATATAATTTATTCTTTCTTTTTTTTGGGTATTTTTTAGGTAAGGGTCTACAGGGTGTTCAGGGACTTGTAGTGATCTGCCTGTTTACAGCCTCCCAAGAGTTGGGATTACAGGCAAGTGCCACCACGCCCAGTCTCAACTGCCATCTCAGTGTGCCCTCGGGGTGGGGCCTGCATGGCAGGCCAGGGGATTGAGCAGGGGATCGGCAAGGGGATTGAACCCCTGGCCCCTGCACCTGCTTGCAGGTGCTTTAATCTACTGAGCTATTTGGCCGGCCTTTATAAATATAATTTTCTTTTTCCTTTTTTTGGTGGAACCAGGGATTGAACTCAGGCCCTTGTTCTTGCCAGGGAAGGACTTATTCCACTGAGCCATCTCCCCAGCCCTAAATGTAATTTTCTTAACGGCAAAATAAAGATAATAGCACTTAACCTGAGTTTTTTTCCCCCCTTAAATAGCTGTTTATTGGCAGTGGGCTGGAAGGAGTGCTGGAGTTAGTGTACACAGACAACCGTATTAAAGCACTTAGCATACATAGTACCTGGCACACAATAAGCACTCATAAATAGTAGTCACCTTTAGGATTCCTAAGGGTTTTACCACTAATTCATTAATTTATTATCTCCTCTTTTCAACTCACCAATTCTCTCACCACCAATGCTTACTACAGCTTAAACCTTTATCTTCTATTATACAGAATTCTGAAAAATGCCTTTGGATGTAGTACCCTTTTGACTTAGCCTCTAAGCTAGCACTAAAGATTTTTTTAAAATACAGAGCTGACCTCTTATGTGCAGGTGTTTCAAACTCCCTACTCTACTTTAGAGACTTTAGAATACACAAAGCTTTGTAGCCTGGACTCTAGCTAGTTTCATCTTTCATTCACCAACCTTCTTCTGAACCCCAAACTCCTACAGTATCAACTATCAATTATATCCACGTAAAGTCACTTCCATGCCTTTGTACCATTTCCTTAACAGATACCTTTCCTTCCTAATTCCCTACCTAGTGTATAAACAGTCCTACTCATTCACCTTTTGCAATCAGGTTTAATATTATACCCTCTGCAATGTATTCTTAGATCCAACCAAGCTAAATTACTCCCTTTTCTAAGCTATCATTCTATTTTTTTGTTTGGTATCAGTAATCAAACTTAGGACCTGCCACTTGCTAGGTAGGCACTGTGCCACTGAGCTATATCCCTGGCCCACGCCATTCTATTTTTTTTTTTTATTTATTTGTGTGTGTGTGTGTGTGTGTGTGTGTGGCCAGCTCAGCCCACCAGGGGGCGGGTTTGGCTGGCATGTGGTGCTGGGGGATTGAAACACGGTCCCTGTGTTTGCTAAGCTTGTTCTAAGTAGGTGCTTTAGGCCACTGAGCCATCTCACCAGCCCCGCCATTCTATTTTTGAGATAATTTATTTATGTATCTGATCTAACCACTAAACTTTGACTTCCTAAAGGGGAGGATTATGTGCTAATTCATCCTTAATTTATAATTGTGAGCTCAGTGTAAAAAATCTTTTTGGTGTGATAATGAGTGACTGAACATAAATAAAATGCTAAAGTTTAAAGGCTGTCTTATTATAAATGGCAAGTCACAACGTTTTGGAACAAGGGACTAGATGATGTTAAAGATTTTGTTAAGAAATTATCTTGGCAGGGGCTGGGGAGATAGCTCAGTAGAATAAGCACTCGCCTGGCAAGCATAATGGCCTGAGTTCAATTCTCGGTTCTGCCCAAAAAAAAAAAAAAGGAAAAAAAAAAAAGAAATTATCTTGGCAATAGCACAAAGAATGGAAATAGAAGTCAATGGTGAGAAATCCACTTAGGAGATACACATAAGTAGTTTAAATGAGGAAATGTGGGCCTAAAGGTATAAGTGATATTTTTACAGTTGAGAGAAAAAAGAAAATAGTTAAAAAGGTGTTACCTTTGAAAGTAAAGATGAAGGTTACAATTCAGCATGTAGTAGACTTAACCTAAAAATATGGTCTGAGTTCTTAGTATTCCCTTTTTTTTTTTTGAGTTCTTAGTATTTCACAGTCTCTTTATTTCTGCATTTTTCTACCTTTTTATTCCTTTATATTTGAAGAATCCTACTACTCAAGGAAAACTGGTACCAGGAAAAATCATCTTTCTCAAAGGGTAAGCTTCACAGGAAAACAATGAGAAGAAAGTCTAATTTTGGAATTTATGTTGAAAATAAAATTTATAATAAAACTTTTCTTTTATATTTCATGACATTTAAGTTATAGCTTCAACCACATGCTAAATCTTAACATGGAATCTAAATCTTAACATAGAATCATGCTTTTGTTGGCTATAATGCCAAGCTTATAAACTACAAACTGAAATTCTTAATTTCATATTGATCTTTGATAACAGCACATCATAACAAATTTTAGAGAACTTCCTGGTTACCTCGTAGGCCTCCATCAATTCTTTAGATATTTAAATCACTTTCATTGTACAGAGGTGTTATAAGAAAAAGGTGAAATAACTCAGTAATTGGGCACAGTGAAGTATTTATCAGCAAGTATTATAGCCTTTAATAATCTAAGATTCATATAAATCCTATTATTTGAAATAACTATGAGGGGCCCGCGAGTTAGCTCAATGGTCTAAAGCAACTGCTTAGGCAAGTTTAGGCAGCCACAGGAGACTGCAGTTCGATCCCGGGTACCACATGGAGCGCTAGAGCCCCCCCTCAGGGTGGGCTGAGTCGGGCAAAAAAAAAGAAATAACTATGATGAAGAAAACTTGGCACTTATTTCTATCCTGTATTGTAATTGTAGTGGGAAAGAAAAATAAAATACAAAATAAATAAAAGAAAGAAAGAAAGAAAGAAAGAAAGAAAGAAAGAAAGAAAGAAAGAAAAAAAGAAAGAAAAACACCTGGCTATTTTTAGTTGTAACCAGGCCAGATACTTACATCAATATTGACGGGTTCTATCGTGTTTATATGCACATTGGGAGCAGAAGAGGACCGGTCTCGCTGCCCAAATTGATTCCGATGATCTTCATCTGCTGGTCGGAAAGGCTGTGGAATTGGAATGGATTTTGAAGGAGATGGGCTGGTGAGAATTGGGGGCCTGGAAAAATCAAGTCATTGAAGGGTAAGATTCAGAGAAACTATAGACACAGAGATAGTTTTATTTAAAAGTGGAAGATACCAAGGTTTTCTTGCTTATAATATAAAAATATTCAAAGTAAGGCAATGGAATTCTAGCAGCAATGGCTATATAAAAAGCATCACTTTAATAAACTAACAAACCTACAATCACTCCCACCAAAGTGGCTTTGCTCAAGCAGAGCCTGCAGGGACTATCAGTGATAAGAACCCTGACTGCTACCCAGAAAAGTCCAGGGAATCTCTGTATACACAAGCCTAGAAACTACCTATGGCTAGCCAGCTGAAGATACTCTAATCCTTTAAAATATATACAATGATCTTGGTAGAGACTAATTGAAGAAAACGAGCTTTTTACTTTTTTCTAACTTAGTCATTTTTTTTTTTGTCATTTCTTGATATCTGAAATTTCTAGAATACAAGTTGTAAGTATTTTGAGAGTAGACCTATGTGTTTAGGACCTAAAAGATGTTCTGACTGGTTTACATCAGAATTGAATGAGAATGCTGAACAATATAGATCATTTTCAAATTTAGACGACCTTTATATTGCTAAAATCTTTTACATTACGAAACTTGTTCCATGCTCAATTACTGATAACAGAAACACAAGAAAATCATATCCCAAACACTAAAGCAAATACTTTCAAAAACTGTCTTTCAATCTAATACCAAAGTAGGACACAGGGTGACCTGTTTTGGTACTGCAGATAAGTAACAGAGACTATATTATCTCACTGGCCTTAAAGAATGTGACACAGAAAACCTAAAGGTTTTTTTTCTTTTTTTTTTTCATTTTCTGTATTTGATATACAGTCTTACTACGCAACTCTGACTCAGAGTGATCCTCCTGTTTTCAGCCTCCCTAGTGCTGGGTTACAGGCGTGTGCCACCACACCCTGATTCAGCAGCCTAGTGAACCCTGGTCCCTGTGCTTGCCAAACCAGGTGCTTATTTCACTGAGGTATCCTGCTGGCCCTCGAAAACCTCAACTTTTAAGAATAGATTGTAACCATCTACAAGGAGTCTTAAGCTCCTTAGCAAGATATCCTTGGCGGCAAGGTAGTATCACTAGGTCCATGAGGTATACTTATCATGCTGAACTCTATCAGGGACAAAAAATACCTCAGCATTTACAAGCTCTTTTTATATACTGATTATCATTCCACCTCATTTTATGCAAACTCCCTAACAAGTCAGTTTTATTTAGTAGTTATTAGGCCAGAAAGACAATGCTGAGCAAATAAAAAGGTTTTTGTGAGGCGCAAGGATTTGGATAGCAATGGTAAGAATATATAGTAGAAAAGGGAATGGATGAAAAGTATGAAGAGCAAAGGAAGTTGTTCAACAGTCACAAAAAGTCACTGTATAACACATGTCAACACAACCTGAACTAAATACCAGTTCATAGTTTTACTTCTCTGCATACATTAAGGATGGGGGAAGAAATACTGACTGTAGGTATTTATTTAACTACATGAATCCATTTAGAATTGACATGCAAATAAGAAAATGTAAGTACTATAAAACTGTATCAGCCAAATTAGAGTTTTAGGTAACTGGTCTTTGGCATAATTAACATGAAGTTTCACCCCTTATTTTCTTTTTTTGAGACAGGGTCTCCTGTGTTGCTCAGGCTGGCCTTGAGTTCACTATGTAGCTTAGGCTGACACAGTGATCCTCCTACCTCACAGCCTCCTTAGTGCTGGGATTACAGGGGTGTGCCAGTGTACCCAGAAGTTTCCTGGTTACTGAGCAAATTTTATGTTCTGATAGAGCTGCCTTTATTCTTGGCTTTAGGTATTCAAATATATACCCTTTGCTAAGGAATTCTAGGTGAGGACAAAATATGTTTTGGAAAGTACACTGGCTGCTAAACTACTTACAAGGCTGGTGTTAGGATTTAGGGAAACAGCAGTTTAAATCAATTTTAAAACTGAACTTTTTTTGGGGGGGGTACTGGGACTCAAACTTAGGAACCTGCACTTGCCAGAAAGGCACTTACACCACTGAACTATCTCCCCAGTGGTTAAGGCTTTTTTTTTTTTTTTTTTTCCAAACTGGAAAAGGTCTGAATGGACTAGAACTATACAGAACAGTCTAATAATGATTCATCTGGTGCAGGCAGAAGTGGCAGTAAGTTACGCCTCAGGATTATGACAGAAACAGCATGTGGAACTACGTATGCTAGAGAAGTTGATCCAGGAGCAAGAAAATGCAGCTGGGTATGGTGATGCACGCCTGTAATCCCAGCACTTGGGAGGCTGAGACAGGAGGATTGTGATGAGTTCAAGACCAGCCTGGGCTACAAAGTGAGCTCAAGGCCAGCCTAAACTGCATAGCAAGACTCGTCTCAAAAAAAAAAAAAAAAAAAAAAAAAAAAAGGCTGGGGAGACAGCTCAATGGCATAAACACCTTCTTGGCAAGTGCAAGGTCCTCAGTTCCATTCCCCAGTATCATAAAAAACAAAACAAAAAAACCCAGAAAGCCAAAAACAAGAAAATATCTTAATGTGATAAACCTCATTATCATAGTTAAAGAAATGGATATACAGTTCTAGAAAAAGAAGTTTTTGCTTATTATACACAATCAGAGACTAATACTGCCTGGTGGAAAAGGTATGGCTTGATCTACAATGTCAATTTATCTAGAAGTAAGGGCAAGCATAATAATTTTGGAGACTGGGCATGGTGGTGGGCATGGAGGTGCAGGCCTATAATCCTAGCACTTGAGGCTGAGGCAGAAAAAGTGCCATGAATCTGAGACCAGCCTGGGCTCCACAGTGAATGCAAAGCCGCCTGAACTACACAGTGAGAACCAATAAAATAAAATAAAATAAAATAAAATAAAATAAAATAAAATAAAATAAAATAAAATAAAATTTAATTTGGAGAACTCTAGAGTTATCAGCACTCCAGTGTATTAAATATATGAGTCATGTCCTAATTCCATGCTTAACAAAAGCAGTCTTCTAATTATAACGTGCTTTCCCATCACTATTTTCCAAAACGAGTGGGTGCTGATCCACCTAACTATAAGACATCTGGCTTACACAACAGGTACGTTTCTCAATGAAATCAATTACCTGGTATTTTGATCTAGTCTGTTTTGATTTGGCTTAATGCAAATTTACTTAATGTCTAATTCTCATCATTTCTGGGAACTAATAATATTGAGTTTCCACACTGAGAAATCTTTACCTAGATTAAGATAATTTATACTGTACAAACTAAGTTGACAGTCAGCCAACTGAGTCCCTCCACAAGGCACATTTTTAAGAATGCTGGGCAAGTGTCTTTAAAGGAGTACCAAGTTAAAAATAAAAAGAATCTTTAATACTCTTCAGTAAATTACCATTAATTTAGATCTCACTTGTAAGCCAGAATATTTGAAACTTTTGAGGCACAGTGACTACTTTTGTTTAGTGACATGCAAACTTTAAATGACTTGCTCTAAATGCATTCTAAAGCATTTTTAAAAAGTAAAAAAGGAAGTTATCTCTTACTTCATATTCAAAACCAGCATTATATTACATGTCCAAAGGTTACAACCATTAGAGTATTTATACCATGATGAATAGAATTTTTATCAGGACTAGCAATAAAATACAAAAAAGTTTTGATACTGAATATGATTGATTCTGTGTGTCTCTCTTTGTTACAGGAGATTGAACCTAGGGCTTTTAAACCAAACTACATCCTTAATCAATTTTAATTTGCATTGTATTGCACTGTACTGTATTGTATTGTGTTTTGTTTTTTTTGAGTTTTTTTTTCTTTTCAAAGTTTTATTGATAAACATATAGCAATGAGACAGTTTCAAATCAAATCGAAAGTACAGTTTCAACAAATAATACACTGCATACATTCTTCTCAGTGGTTAATTACTGTACAAGATGCAGACTTGTGATCCTACTTACAAACACCATTAGAAAAAATCATTCTATTCATTAAGAGAATGCAACTATATATCTATCCCAACCACTTTGAATACACAGATACAAAATGGACATTCATAGTTATACCCCAATTTTTTTTAAGTTCCGTTGTTGAATATTATAGGTGTGTAAACTCAGCAAAATATTCTAAAAGAGTACAGAAGCCCATAATATCATTGGGTCTTCTGTTTAACTGGCAATGTCAGAAATTATTGACCTGAGTCCCCCACAGCTCAACATAACAATGTATTGTGTTTTGATGAGGCCTTGCTAAATTGCCAAGGCAGCACTTGAACTTGTGACCTTCCTGCTACAGCCTGGGATTACAGGCATGTACCACTAAGCTTGGCTTAATCATGATTGATTTCTATTATTACAGAGATAAACACATACATTAAGACATGAAAGCATCAGGAAAGCCAGAGATGGTGGCACATGCCTGTATTCCCAGCACTCGGGAGGCTGAGGCAGGAGGACTGTTGTGAGTTCGAGGCCAGCCTAGGCTACACGAGGCCAGGCTGAACTACATAGAAAAACATTGTCTCAAAAACTCAACCCAACCCAGAACCACCCAAAAAATAAACCATTAGGAAAATGACTTATGAAGGTTGCAATATCTTTCTTATTTGTCTAAGACTACAATCTAGTTTAGATTTGACTAAAACTCATGGCAAATGGTTTCTTAGGGTAATATTTCTTCACTGGAAGGTACATCCTACATTGCAGCCACTTTACACTCTCAGAGAGGTCAAGATAATTTCATCATGGTGTTCTATAACTCTGCTCACAGAATTGGGACCTGCCATTAGAAATATGGGCTGTGGTCTGCAGAGTGTATCGGGAGAAAATGTTATAGCTAAAAGATTAAAAACCAAAACAAACATAGCAACATTTTTGACTATATAGAAACACAGCTGCACACAACTAATGATAGTGCTATCAAGAACAAAATGACCAGCAGAGGAGATAACTGTTATACCCTGACAAAAGAACAGAGTAGTTACATTTTTGTGTTTGGTATAGGTTCTTACTATGCAGCTTGGACTCCTAGTGATCCTCCTGCTTTCAGCCTCCCCAGTGCTGGGATTATAGGTGTGTGCCACCACGCCCAGTTTTGGTGGCCAACTTGGCATGCCTGGGGGGGTAGCTGGTGTGGCATGTGGTGCCGGGGATCGAACCCTGGTCCCTGCACTTGCCTAAGCAGGCGCTTAGTTCACTGAGCTATCTCGTTGGCCCAGTGGTTACATTTAAATTTTTTTTTTTTTTTGGGTGGAACCGGGGCTTGAACTCAGGCCTTTGTGCTTGCCAGGCCAGCACTTATTCTACTGAGCCATCTCCCTGCCCCCCCCCCACATTTTTTTGAGACAGGGTCTTGCTATGTAGCCCAGACTGGCCTCAAACTCATGGCAATCCTCCTGCCTTAGCCTCCTGAGTTCTGGGATTAGTTGTGAGTCACTAAACCCAATTTTTCTTTTAACTCCTCTTTAATATAAGAGTATTCTGTTAACTTTTTGTAATCTGTGAGATCTTTAGGAAGATTAGCTTCACAAAACTAACAGATTTATGAGAAGTGTCAACATTTCTCTCTAGGAAGAAGCCTAAAGCAGTATTTGATTGTGAAGAGTGGAAGGAAGTAGGGTGAAAATGACAGTAAGAATTTCTGAACCAAGTATCTCTGAAATATATTTTTAGTCATAAGATTCTAGACTCAGCATATATCATGGTGCCTCAAAGCCAGTCAGGAAGAATCAGATCTGTGTAAGCAATGCTACAGCCCAAACTATTACCACTTTACTCATCATTACTGTGGATTCCTTTCCTTCCTACCTTGAAGCTGAAATACCTGATGTCTTGCACTGCCTGTAAAGCTACTGCTTTATTCCCTACAACTGACAACACTACTGATTTTTATTCTGCGCCTTAAGAGCACCTGTCCCTCTCTACACTGCTACTCCTCCAGGTTGGGACATCACTGCCTGCCAGTTTTCACTACTTGGCTGCCATTCCTCACTTAGACTTTTCTCAGTTGGTTCATCCGTAGTTCACTGCTACATGGTTATTTCTTTAAAACCATTTTTATTAGGCTAGTAATCTGCTTGAAAACTCTGTATTTTTTTCCCCCTTCTTGTACCAAGCAAATTCTAACACTCTCTGTAACTAGGCTTTATTTCTCAGTTTGGAAAAGCCTTCATTAGCTCTTTAGCTATGCTATTTTCCATTTCCAACTGCCATGCTTTCATTTCCAAAAGTCACTCAGATTCTATTTCAGTTCAGAGCTGAGGTTCTCCAGCTGAGGTTCCAGCTCTTTTCTCTATTTCTTATAAAAACAAAAAATTTGCCAGGCATGGTGGCACATGCTCATAATTCCAGCATTTGGGAGGCTGATGCAGGAGGATTGTTGCAAGTATAAGACCAGCCTGGGCTACAAAGTGAGCTCAAGGCCAGTCTGAAATGCATAGCAAGACCATGTCTCAAAAAGACAAAAAGACCAAAAAAAAAAAAAAAAACGGGAGATAGCTTGGTGGTCTAAGCACCTGCCTGGCAAGTGCAAGGACACAGGTTTGCTCCCTGGTACCGCATGCCATACTGGCTCTGGAACCTGGATGCATTGTGCTGGCCACTGAAACTGGACGTGGTGGCACATGCATATAATTCTAGCACTGGGGAGGCTGACACCGAAGGATCACTATGAGTCTGTGTAGTGAGACTCTGTACCAAACAAACAAATAATGACTAAAAAAAAATTATATCCTTCTTATGTAGTACAATATGCACCATAAACTATAGCTTAAAGTTAAAAATATTATTTACTGACGTAGAGTGTGCCTAAGGAGAGTCACATGGAGAGAAAACACTCTCTCAGGCTTTCACAGAGAGTACATTGGTCAAGCAATGGCCGTGACTCATCCACATGGCTGACACTGACAAAGGTTCTACAATCTGAGGTACAGGATCTCAGGATAAATCCTGAGGGGATTTCACTGACCTTCTCAGACCCAAAAGCTACAACTCTTGTTGTATAGGTCTTGCTTTATCTTGGTCTTAACTATCCAGTAGAAAAGTATGAAGACGAAATATAGGAAGTAAAGCCACACTGTTATGTGGAGCTGTGGGGGACTCAGGTCAATAATTTCTGACATTGCCAGTTAAACAGAAGACCCAATGCTATTATGGGCTACTGGACTCTTTTAGAATATTTTGCTGAGTTTACACACCTACAATATTCAAATAACAGAACTTAGAAAAAAAGGGGTATACAGATGAATGTCCATTTTGTATCTGTGTATTCAAAGTGGTTAGGATAGATATATAGTTACATTCTCTTAACGAATAGAATGATTTGTTCTAATGGTGTTTGTAAATAGGATCTCAAGTACGCATCTTGTACAGCAATTAACCACTAAGAAGACTATATGCAGTGTGTTAGTTATTGAAACTGTACTACCGATTTGATTTGAAACTGTCTCATTGCTGTTTATCAATAAAATTTTGAAAAAAATATTACTTACAGTTGTTTTCTATGTTCATGCTACTTTTACAAATGGAAGCTATACACTGCTATATCTAATATTACCTAATAAAATGATACACACAAGATAGCAACTCAAAATAATTTGTTGTTTGATTTTTCTCAGAACTGGTTCTGAAACAGTCTATGCTATTTTAATATAATTTCTGTACCACACACATATGTCTGAAGGACGTGATAAAATAAGTTATTTTGGAAAAAATCTTTATCTAACAATTCAATTGTTGGAAAAGCTTTTGAATTAATCACAGGAAAGTAGTTCAATTAGCACATTACTCTACAGCAGGAATGAAACCATACCCAATGGCTTCTGAGGGGGGTGCGGAAGGGGATGATCCAGATGTAAGGGTGGTCTCTGCTAAGGAGGTCTCCTCCTGTGGTAATGGGTGGTGTTCAAAGAACTTGGAGACAAACAGCAAACTGTGAGGCAAAAACAAAACAAAACAAAGCAAACCTAACTTGTGTAAAACCCAGAAGTGTCAGTATAAGAAAATACATAGTTAATGGAAAAATAAGGGATCAAATTCCATTTCCAGAAACAACTGTTAAAATTTAATTAGTTGCATTTTTGTCTAAAGGCTTATTAAAACAATTGCATTATACTTTCAAAAGCAAGCTCAAACTCTAAAGCTAATTGTTCTTCAGTAAATTTCTACATATTAAAGAGGGAAAATCATGTTTCATGGTTAAAGCTTCAGAAGAAAAAGTATTGCTAAGTTAGATTGTTTCATAATTTACTTTAGAATTAAATTCTATTTGCTCAAACAATCTGGAAAAATAAAAAAATCTTAAGAGTAGCTGCAACAACATTGTCAGAAAAAGAGATTATGACAGACTTATTCTAATCTATTAGAAAAACTGTGGTTTAAAACAAATTTTATAAAGAAACTGAGTACTAACATTTTATATGTTACTCTCCTATAAACTGAAGGAAGAGGGCTCTAGATGTGTGTGTGTGTGTGAGTGAGAGACAGAGACAGAGAGACAGAGAGAGAGAGACAGAGAGGAGAGAGAGACAGAGAGAGGAGAGAGAGACAGAGAGAAGAGAAGAGAAGAGAAGAGAAGAGAAGAGAAGAGAAGAGAAGAGAAGAGAAGAGGAGAAACACCATTTACATAACAGCAACAGAGCTGGACACCCTCCACCCTCACCTGCAGCCTACAGATATGACACTCCATGTAACTGAAGTGATACTGAGTCTCCTCTCAGAAATGACCCAAAAGTTGTTTCTATGGACTAAGTGTCTTTATTACTTAAAAAAGGGTCTAAAATATAAATTCAATATATAGCTGGACTGGAATTACAATTTGGGAGAGAAATCCTAGCTATACTACATGTTAATCTCTGACCAACTTTTAACACTTCTCCATAACATCTGTACTCTTACAGAGAAAACTTCTCATTTACTTTACCGGACACACTGGTTTACCTTATGAAAATTTAAGTGTAATATAGAAAAGAGCTTCTGGGTTACTTACTCAAGTTGGTCATAATTAACACACATCACAGGAACCTCTGTACTACAGCGCTGGTGAAATTTATATCCACATGTTTGACAGCGGAAACCCTGGAATAGTAGCTTTCGACAAAAGTCACAAAATGCTAAGGTGAAAAAAGTTTTCCGTACCTGCAAAGCAAAAAGATCAAACAGGATTTCAAAGACGTGCAACAATCTCTCTGGAAATCAGTTTACTCACTTAACAATTTGTGTCATAAAACTCACATACTGTAATAGAAAAAAGAACGTCAGTGGCTCAAGATAGTAGATGGGCTGTCCATTTTTATGTCCCATCCCCAATATCCAAATTAAAAACTTAGAAGTCAAGCTGAGAGACAGACTGGCAACTGATTTAAAGAAAGCAGAAAAGAAGGGCATACAAAGGAAAGGAAGATGAAAGACAGAGAATGATTTAATTATTGTACAAAGAGGGGAAATAAGGAATACTAATTGGCACTGATGGAACAAAAACTAAAGGTGTACATGTGTTATTTAAAGTTATGAGCTGCACAGCAGTCTAAGCGCCTGTCTGGCAAGCGCAAGGACCCAGGTTTGATCTCTGGTACCACATGCTGGTCATGGAAACCAGCTGTGATGGCGCATGCCTGCAATCCCAGTGCCAGGGAGGCTGAGACAGGAGAACCACAAGTCTGAGCTGTGTAGTGTGACCCTGTATCAAATAAATGAATGAATGATTGCTTAAAAAATTAAAGTTATGAGCTGCAGCAGCCTAAGTGCCTGTCTGGCAAGTGCAAAGTCCTGAGTTTGATCCCTGGTACCAAAAAGAATAACAAAAAGCTATGAGCCAGGTATGGTGGTGCACACCTGTAATCCTAGCACTCAGGAGGCTGAGGGAGGAGGATTGCTGCAATTTCAAGGCCAGCCTGGGCTATAAAGTGAGCTCAAGGTCAGCCTGAACTACACAGTAAGACACTGTCTCAAAAAGAGAGAGAAAAAAAAGTTATGAAGGTCTCCAATAGAAGGATTGAAAAAAGAAAAAGCCTTTCATGATAGCACATGTCTGTAATCCTAGCACTGTGGGAAGCTGAGGCAGGAGAAGCACAAGCTTGAGCTCAGCCTGAGAAACTTAAGTGACTTACCAAGACATTTCCAAAATAAAAATTTCAAAGGGCCGAGGATACAGCTTACTATGAAGGCTCTGAGATAAAGCAACAGTAACATACATGGAGAGAAAAACAATTGGTAGGGAAGGGTTTTAATGCTACAAATAAGAGGATTCCTAATGGAATCAGTAATCAAGACCTTATGTCTGAAGTAGAAAAGGTAAGAAATTTTAAATAAAAGATAATACATTGGGAGGCTGAGATGGAAGGATCACTGAGTTTGAGGCCAGCTTAGGCTACATGGTGATTTTAAAACCAGCCTGAACTGCTGCACAGAGACCATGTCTCAAAACAAAAACAAAAGCAAAAAAAGGTGACACCATCAGAATCCCTCATCTGTGGTCCAAAAACATAATGGTTAACAAATGAAATGACACTCCTTCTGAAAACTATTCAAAAGTAATTTCCTATATGCTGAGGGCCTTTACTTATTAATTAAAAGAGAATCTACATATTAATTGTATAGCTGAACCAGAATTACAGTTGTAGAGAGCAGAGATGGCCATACTACATGTTATTTTCTTTTTCCTTTTCTTTTTACATGTTATTTTATCTTTTTTTTTTCCCCTTGTATTTAGGGCTGGGTCTACAGGGTCTCACTATGTAGATCAGCCTTCCAAGTGCTGGGATTACAGGCACCGCGCCACCACACCCAGTCTCAATTGTGTCTCAGGGCACCCTGCGGGGGGGTTGGGTAGTGGAGGGTCGCTCAGCACGCTGGGGGATCCACTGTGCTTTGCCTAAGCAGGAGGTTTAGTCTGCTGAGCTATCAGGCCAGCCCTATACATGTTACTTTCTAACCATACCTTTAAAAGCTTCTAAAATACTGGACAGAGAACTGCCCACAAACTTAAAAACATACTCACTTCATATTATGGAAATTTAAATGTAAAATGGTAAAGAGAAGAGCTTATTACTTCCCCAAGGTGGTCATAACACAGTATTAGAAACAGTGCTGGTGAAATGTATAATCAGCATTAGAAGTTAGCAAGGGACGGTGCAATAGATAATTATTCATTATAAACTGCACTACTTTTTAAAACCACTCCTGTATTATTTGAATAAAAGTATAAAAATATTTATGAAAGGTAAAACTAATATGGTCCTGTACAAAAATCAAAGCAGGAATGTTAGGATAAGGGGAAGAGAATCACCTAAAAGACAGTAAAAGCTACTTTTAGCAAACTATCAACTTTGTTATAGGATTAGACTATTCAGGCTATCAAAACTTATTTGTAAAAATTTCTTTATGTGAAATTTAAAAGGCAACCCCTAAAATTTCCATATTGCAAGGTAAATGAGGGGCTGGGGAGATGGCTCAGTGGAATAAGTGCTTCCCTGGCAAGTGTAAGGGCCTGAGTTCAATCCCCGGTTCTGACAAAAAAACAAAAACAAAAACAAGACAGCAAGGTAAATGATCATATAAGTTAAAAAGCATAGAAAGACTATTACCACATCCAGAAACTATTTAAAATGTACTTGTTCTGCATATTTAATAAGTAGAACATAAGACACTGAATAAAGAAATATCAAACTCTTTTTTCTGTATTGAGAACAGGGTCTACAGTAATTCTCCTGTTTTCAGTTTCCCAAGTGCTGGGACTACAGGTGGGTGCCACAATGCCCCTCTCAATCGCCCTCTCAGCATGCCCCGGGGGCAGGGCCATCATGGCAGGTCCGGGGATCGAACCTCAGCCACTGCGTCTGCCTAAGCAGGCACTTTAATCCGCTGAGCTATTTGAGCTATTTGGCAGGAGATATATATATATATATATATAATTTTTTCCCCCAAACTCTTAATAGTGGCTTTTTTTGAAGTGTTGAGAATATAGTTGACTTATTTTATTATTTGTTATATAACCTCAATTTTTTAAAGTTTCAAACACAAATAATAGTCATAAGTAATTTTAAATTGTGACCCAATATACCTGTATTCATATTACAACATTTATCCTGGCTATATTAATGTACATTAGGATATTTGGGGTTTTTTTACAATTTTTATTTATTTATTTATTTATTTGAGCCGGGGATTGAACTCAGGCCCTTATGCGCTTATTCCACTAAGCCATCTTCTCAGCCCCCCCATATGTACAAGTTTTGTTTTTCTGTTATCAGTTAAATTTTTCAAGCTAAAAATTAATTAATTAATTAATTAATTATGTTTTCGGAACCGGGGATTGAACTCAGGCCTTTGCGCTTGCCAGGGAAGCACTTATTCACTGAGCTATCTCCCTGGCCCTACATTAGGATATTTGAACCTATTCTATTACATGTAAATGTTTTACATTTAACAAGAAACTGATTTAAGCACTAAACCTCTACTTTCATCAAACATATTTAACAGAAAAAAGTAGTTTTTAAAAATGTTTCATCAAGAACATTACATCCTAACACAGTGAATTCCAGCTTTTTCAGTAGACTTATGTAGCTTTTAAAGGATTTTAAGACACTGGTATTTTTCTTCTCCTTTTTTTCTACATATGACTTTCAGGGTGTGTGAAAAAGGCAAATTCTCGTCTCCAGTTTTAGTCTTTTATCTCCGATTGTATAAGAAATGAAAAAATACCTTCTTTAATGTTTTTATGTGGCTGTTATAAACCAGACTTTTTTTTTTTTTTTATACATCTAGCAGAATCTCAGGAAACAGCACAGGATCCTATAAAAGGTTTTTACAGGTACCTACATTTTTCATTCACTTCATCTTTTTCTAATCCATTTGTACTTTAACTCGCATGGTAACTGCTTCAGCTTCAGGAAGCCTTCAATTACTTTCCTAATTTATTCATTACAACTATGTGCAACTTTTTGGGCACACATATAACTGAGAAAGGAGAGAACAAGAAAGAGGGGAAAAGGCATGGAAGCACAGAGAGGGAGCAAAACATCTGAGTGGGAGAAAATATACGGGTATGCATTTGAGTCTAAATTTGCAACAGCACATGCTTACACTGGTCAGGATGCATTTGTCAGTAAAGGTGTGCACAGAACTGTGTCTTCTGGGTCACAGCTGATGTTTAGCCTCGAAACTGAGTATATCTAAACGTACAGTAAAGTACCAGGAGATTCCACGCCTGTGGCACTTAACTTTATGCTAAGTTCTATTAAATGAAAAAAATGGAAACAGACTCAAGGAGAAATACCTAGCTCCTCCAAGTTCCTCTTCCATCATCCTATACTTCAAAAACACACAAACGTGTCTATGCACACAGAAAGACTCTGTTTAGTTCTGTAGTGACAGATGTATAAAAAAATTCAAAAATGATTAATATACATTCCTCTTCTGTCTTTTTTCTTTCTTGATTTTTCAAGACAGGATCTCACTATGTGTGGTTTAGGCTGGCTTCAAACTGAATATGTAATTGAGGCTGGCCTCAAACTCACAGCAATCCTCCTGCCTCAACCTTTTACTTGCTGGGACTAAAGGTGTGTGCCACCTTGGCCTGTTTTTTTCTATTCTTTTGCAATGGGCTAACTTTATTGGTTAGGTGTCCTGACAGGATGAAGTCCATAATATCCTGTTTTTTTTTTTTTTTTTAAAGTGAAGACACAACATGCAAAGAATTTTCATTGTTTTCATGATATATTTTTATACCACTCCAATTTTTTTTTTTGGGGGGGGGCTTAGGAACAGACATATACCGCAGACACTTTTTTTTTAAGTTAAAAAGAAAATATAAGAATTAAAACTCTTTAGTTTAAGTATGTTTTTAAAGAACAAAATTGATTTTCAACTGAGATAAAATGCCAACTGCAAAATTATTCATCCATATTTCATGTTCTGTAAATAAAAATATATTCATGAAAATGTGAACATTTTTTGATATTACAAATATGTAAAGATACATACAAAATTGTGTGTGGTAAGTGGAACATTTTCCAATACTTCTACGTGCAACTCCTCTCCAGTAAGCCAGGAAATATCAGTGTCCCAGCCAATTGGCTTCTTCTCTCTGAAAAACGCAGACATAAGCCTTTCTTAGTTATCGTGCATAAAACAGTCACATGCCTCATGCTGAAGATATGAAATTGGTACTGAGGAGCTAGTACTAGGGAGTATTGGTTCCCTGATCTTCCATTGTTAGAAATTTAAATGGCAATAAATTAATTTTTAAGTTTACCCCGAATAACTGTATCAGTCTTGGACAAACAGCAGGGTAAAGAGATGTACTCTTTTCTTCAAGTCAGCTCCAGAAAAGGCCTACAATAGCAAAAAATGAATTGTTCCTGGGGTTCCCATTAAAAAAAAAAATCGTAAGTATGGACTTCTCTATCACTTCAGAGAAAAAGAACACAAAATTTCCTAAGATTTGATGCAAAATTTGGTTTCAAAATTAGGAAGTCTTAGAAAACCTGTTAGACATTTTTGGGGAAAAAGTTTCACATGAAATGTTAATTTTATAAAACCTTTGCAAAACTCTGAGTTTATATTAAAAATAGGAGAGTGGGTAAGGAAATACTACCCAAATAAATCACATTCTAAATGGTTCTGAATAGTAAAAATTTTAAATGCCAGTGAAGTCATCTGATCTGAATCACACACTGCAGTCACATAAAATTATCAATGGCCTGTAAGATTTCTCCACGTTAACTTAGCATTAATTTAATTTTTTTTCTAAAGTTGATTTTCAACTCTTTAGGTATGATTAAAGTTCCAACAGAAAACCCTGAAGCTTACTGTCACATTTTTCTTTTTAAACAAAATTTCACAACACATACAAACCATACCCATCTTGAATTCTGTATACAGCACAGCACTCTGGGATAAGACCTCTCATCATCAGTGCTTTCTTTAGACTGTCTCGGACTGTAACTCCACACCTTGCAGGTACCTATGGCATCACAAATACACATAAGAGACAAGGCGAATAGCTTTTCTTTCATATTATTAAAAAAGGAACTCAATATTTATTATTTATCTTTACAACACCTCTAAAATGTCACACTGAGCACATGCAACATCACTTCTGTAGCTCACTTACTAGTAAAGAGGAATTAAACCAAAATTTATTTTTGGTCTTTTGTCAAAATTATTAAGTATTTTAGAAATAGAAAACCCAGAAAATAGTACCCACTATAATATATCCACCAATATAATGTACCCATCATCAAGAAATAACAGATGTCAGCATTTAAAGCAAAATCAATTTTGATCCAACACTGTTTAAAGCTGAAAGCTCTGTACCCTTCTAATCACACGGGGACGTCTTACTGACACGAAACATGATAGGAAGAAAATACTTGTCTTAATACGTATAAGTGATATCTGCTGCTTAGTTGTGCAACAGCCCTATGTTTTCTAAGTTGCTGCCCTTTAGAAATCCACATGGAACTAGACAAGCTATCAATCAAAGGTCACTCATTTTCTGGCTACATCAACAGACTAATCATTTTCCTGTATCTTTAGGAATAGCAGCTGACACACCCTGCCCCAGCCCCACCCTCCACTCTTACCCGAGAAACAGCATACAAATTCAGGGATACATGAGTAGTAGCTAAAATAAGTTCCCAGTTCTTCTGGGACAATTCAAATCTGAAGCAGTAGGTGGCCACCACTCTCACTACACTGAGAAAATCTGGCTACAGAAAGAATAAAACTAGCAAAGGGAGATGCACGGGTGACACCTGGAGTGGTGAAGGACAAGGGAAAGGAAAAGAGACAGTTTACCATTATACTGGGCATTTTCCTTGCCTCATGCCTCCATGTGAATCTAACATGAACTAAAAGGCAGTGGGAGGAGTATAAGGGGTGCAGATTTTATTGGGGGAAGGTTATAAGATAGCAGGGGATGTATTAATCATAATATAATTAACCATACCATTCCTATCACTTTAAGCCAATTAAGACTGGGCGTGGGGGCTCATGCCTGTAATCCCAGCTCTTGGGAGGCTGTAAATAGGCAGATCACTATGAGTTTGATCTAGTAGTGAGACCTTGGACACCCTGTAGACCCTTCCCTAAAATACAAAAAAAAAAAAAAAAAAGAATATCCAAAAGTTCCCAAAGAAAGTGGGAATTTTCATGTGAAGAGAAAGAAAAGGAAAGAGGTAAATTATAAAGGCCTTGAATTTGAGTAGTACATTGAAGAGAGGACAATCTAGAAAGCCGAGTTAGAATCGGTGACTAGAAAATACAAGAGTCAGATTTTAGATGAGAGAGCCATTAAAACTACCCAGCAAGGACAGTGTGATGCTTTGTTGTAAGGAAGAGGGCTCAGCATTCAAGAAGTGACTGGGATGGAACAGCTGATCATTATTCATGGAATCCATATTTGTGAATTTATCTGCTTGTTAATATTTACTTATAATTCCAAAATTAATATTTCTATTGGTTTTGCAGACTTGGGCAGTGAAAAACGTCTGTTGCCTGAGGTATGTCTCTTCCCAGAGGGTGTTCAACAAGGCAACACTGCCTTCCTGCTTCATTTTCACACTAAATGCTAGCGTCCCATGTATAGCCCCTACCATGCTCTTTGTAGTTTGGAGCTTTTCGTTTAAATACCTTCCTACAATAGTGCTGCAGTACTGTTTAGTACTCCTAAATGCAAGAGTGCAGAAACAGGCCTGGCAGAAAAGCAATAAATATTGGGGAATGTTCCTTCAGTCATACGCTAGAGATGTCAGCCATAAATTAAGAGTTAATGAATCAACAATATATAGCAAATAAGGTGTCTTTAAAAAGAAACACACATAAAACAAGGTTCTGTACGGATCAACTGATGAAAATGTGACCAGAGGCTCCTAAGAACCAGACTAGAGCGCAAAGGATTTGAGGGCCAACCAAAGGGAATGGAATGACCACAAGGTGGCAGTCACACATGAACTTTATCTGGATGATACTGACAGGTGGTGGGGGCGGTGGTTGTGTGTGGATCTTTCCATTAGCAGGCTGGAGAGAGAGGGCCGAAGGAACGCTAAGGGAGAGCGTCAGGAGTGCAGTTTTCTCCATCTAGGTAAGGCTGCTTACTAGCCTGGTATGGAGTTTCCTGATGAAAGCGCTCCAAAGAACAGCAGCCTGAGATTTTCCAATACTGCTTATTAAGTTCATCTGCAGCTAGCAGATTTTGGCTATAAAGCAGTTTTGTGGCGTTTGTAAAGTACGTAGGCTCTCAATACCAAAACTCTGCTTGGAAGGATTATGCTTAAAACAAACATATATAAAAAATTAATTTGGAGCAGGCACACCTTTATGTTAACAGATCCCAGTCTGCTGTGAAGAAATAAGCAAGCAAGGGGCCAATACACAAAGGTGAGCTTTGGAGCACATTTATGTAATTCACCTATACTACCTAAGAAAAATGGATCGGTATTCAGTAATTCAGTTTGTGACAGTAATAGAATGTAACTACTGTGAATAACGAAAACTCGCTCTCCTTTCAAGAAAGAATGAATTGAAAAGATCACTCTTTTCCTCTGCCACTTATCTGTCCACATTAATTCAAAACCCTGCCCTTAGTTTGAAATCCCAATCTATTCCACTCAATGTCACCACAGAAATCTTCCTAAAGAAACTATTCTTTTAACGTTTTGTAATGTCTGAGAATTGGATAAGAGCCTTAGACATGATCTCTGAAACATAACATTTCAGAGGATTTGTGCAAAGTGAATCCCTTCAACTTAGCAACGAACCCATATAATCTCACATTTCTTATGGTTTGCTCATTTTTGTTTTGTTTTTCTGGTATGAAGGATTGAATTCCTGACCTTGCGCTTGCCAGGCAGGCACTTTAATCTTACATTTCTTTTTTTAAAAATTATTTATTTATTTATTT